TGATGCTTTGTACTGCTTAAGCAGTTCTGAAAACTTAGTGTTATAACTTGCACTCTATTCCAGTTTTTATTTCCTTCCAGTAGGAATCATCATCATTTTACTTCTAGCACTCTAGATAGTGCTGAAATTGTGTGGCCTGATATATGGTGCGTTTGCCCATAGCACAGGTATCCCAATTCACTGTTTTTAAATCTATGTGTCTCAGAGTAAAATCAATCTCTCTTTTAATAAACATACCTTCTTTCATGACGTTTCTGGGATTTCTAATTGCAGAGTTGTCAGGCTCCCATGGCCCTTAAAGGTCCACGGAGGGATTCCCTGGTGCGGAACTGCGGTCTCCCTAACTTTCCTGTGGTGCATTTATTTTCAGTTCCTCAGAAGTAGTGAAGGGTGGTAATTATGCTCTGTAAATAATAAACCAGAGGGAATGTTTTCCAAAACCATCAGGATCTGCAAAATAGTATTTTGGCAAGTGCTCTGGAGCACGTGCTTTTTGTGAGCCGTGACCTGCATCCAGGCTGCTCTGCAGCAGTAACTGAAGCCTGGCCCCACTGGGGTGTTTGCAGAGGGGGTATCTGCAACAACCAGTTAAGCCCAGTAAGCTGGTTCCCCAGTGTGCATTTCCTATTGAAGTCAGACTTTCACCTTGAAATCAGCAGAACATTAGTCACCTAAAATACTCTGGCCCTGCCTTGTTAGTTTTGTAAAGGGCTCTCTGCTTTTTATGAAGCCATGACTTCATTCTGAAAATGGTATAAATTGTGTCACTTACAATGGGTGCCAAGCATCCCTTATTTTCCATGTATGCTTTCTGTATGAGACATTTGTTTGGGGAAAACACACAGAGTTAGAGTTTGAGAGAGCCTGAGCGCAGGCTTTAGCCCGTGTTTAATACACCAAGCTGTGGCACAGCACCACATCTGCACCCTCGGGTAGTACGGGCAAGGAGCTCTGTGGTCTGTCCTCACAGACACCTCCCCATGGGTGGCTGCTCCGTGGTGCTGGCACCCCAAGTGCGGCACCTGCAAAGTTGTGGGGCAGAGAGTACATGTGGCTCCATCTCACAGGGCTGGACGAGGTGTCAAAAGCAAAAGGAGCAGAAATCACGCGTGCAAATTTGAACTGTGCACTGTCTTTCCAAAGGTAAAGACTCATTTGGCTGCAATTACCATGGAATGGCCTGGAGTTTCTGCAACAAGAATTGAAATAAGGCTTTTTTTTTTTTTTTTTTCTTCAACTTCACGTTGTCTTTTTTCTTCCCCCTCCACTGACCTGAGTTTTACCTGTAGTACAAGCTGCACTCTTGGGAAGCAAATGCTGATAAACTGCTCTCAAGCAAAGCTCCCTGAGCAATGCTCCGAGCTGTATAAATTGGCTGTAGCAGCAGTCCTGTTTGGCCACAAACAAATGTTTGCTGCACTGCGGAGTTTTGGAGGGAAGAACAGGAGAAGGGGCTGGAGCAGAGCTGAGTGTGTCCTAGGGGGTTCCCTCTCCAATAAAATAAATGTTTCCATGGGCAAGGTTCAACCTGTTGTGCTACTCCAGAGAGCCTGACTGCATCTACTGCACTGCTCGCTTGACTTGGCACACATCTCTTATTCTGCAGCCTGTTGATCTGCGATGAAATCATATGATAATGCTGTGTTTTTATAGCCCAGTAGCTCTTCTGGAGGAGGGATGCCCTATGGGATCTGCTTGTGCCGCTGCCTGAACCCCTCAACCCCTGCATGATGTCGGGACGCGCGTAACAGTTGCTGCAGCATTGCTGCTCGGGAGGAAAACTAGTGTCTTTGAGAAAGCCAACCTGCATATAAAGAATAACAGTACTAGAAACAAAGAAAGGACTGGGAAATGCCTCTGCTTTATGAGTGACGCCTCTGCTTTGAGGTGGAGTTTGTGAGGCTTGTGCCAGGCATTGCTGCTCTGAATGTAAAACATGAAGTATTATGCATGATGAATAATAAAGAAAGATAAAGTGCAATTGAGCATTAATTGAGGCTCACAACTGAAGGGTAGGCTCAGTCCTTGGAAAAACAAGGCGGGGGTATATTTTAGTGTGGCATGCATGAGAATTGGGTCTGGGATTCCTCCTCTTTTGCAGTAAATGCCTACACTGTGAATACAGCTGAGCTAGTCCTCTAGACTCCCCTTGCACTTAATGGAAGGAAAGGGACATTTCCAGGCGATGATTCATCTCACTTATTTTAGACATCTGTGCTGCAGTGAGATGAATCATGCCCTTTAAGAGGCTGCTCGGCTCATCTGTCCTGCCAAGTAACTTAGCTTGGTGCCCTCACGGTCCTTGCTGTGTGTTCGTCCCGGGCTCTCCTTTGGCATTAGCCGGTTTGTTACCTCCGAGAGCGAGCTTGGTGGCTGGCGAGGGGTAGTTTGCTGCAAGAACTACTCCAAGTGCTTGATGTGTGTAAGAATATACCAGCTTTGGCCACCTCCACCTTCCGAGATCCCCACATCTCACCCAAAAGCAGAGTCTGTTCAACCGTGACCTCCAAAAGAGATGAACTTAGGGGTATCCCGAGCAAATCCAGAACAATTGGAAATGAGGATATGCATGTCACTTGTTTCTATGGCTAGCAAATATTTATAGCTGTTCGTGAAGTTTATTACCACAGACGTTCTGCATTCATATTTGGTCCCTCCTCAAGTGTAAAAAGTTATGGCTGTACAGTTTAGCCAGCAGATTTTATGTTTTTCTCTGCAATTAAGATGTCTGTGAATTGACAAGACATGCTTTGTTCATTTTTTTGTAGCCAGAAAATAGACCATGAGTACGTCACCTACTTAGGACTAGAGTTTTATGGAAGGTCCTGGACCTTGTCAGTTCTTTATTCTATTAGGTTGAATTGGGAAAATGTGCTTTTTTTTAAAAAAAAAACAAAACCCGAAGTCAAAATGGGTAATATCTTTCTATTAATGCTTTTGAGTTTTAGGTCTTGTCCTCTTTCCAGTCTGTTTTTTTTTAATTATTTTTATTTTACTGCTTGTACAGTTCAAACTGTATATTTGTTTTGGGAAGAATTTCATAATTTGCACTTCTCTGTTCAAGTTTATACTAGGAGGGGCAGAAACTTTGCAAACCTACAGTTTTACACTTGCTCCTTGTTGAGCCCTTTTCATTTGTTGCTTTCAAGTTAGTATTATTTTTTCAAGTTCTTAGAAGGACAAATTATACCACATGTATGCTACAAATTATTAAGGGTTTATTAGATGATTATCGCATGATTATTGCAGATGGCTGGTGAGGGAGAAAATTTGGAAGTAAGTGGTCTCCAGAGGACAGTCACTGCAGATTACTGTCAGACTGATCTGAAGGAAAAATCAGTCCATATATGTGAAATCTGGAAAAAAAACAGACCCTCAGATGAATCCTAGTTTTCTTAAGAAAACAAGGACATTGCTTTCAGATTTTCTTTGCTCTGTGCTTACCTTGTCTACTAAAAATCTAGACTTCCTTATGGATACCAATTTCTTTTGGGTTTTCTAACTTTCTTCTAGGGTTTTTGAGGTCAGTGGTTGATCAGTGCTTGTTTTAAAGTGTTTCTGAAGAAAGATTGCATCTTACAAGCAGCATCTGCAAGTGAAGCAGTGTAAATATTGGAGCACTAAGTTTCTCTGATAGGACATTTTAAAGTGGACTTCCAGTGTTTGCTCTGTATGTCATGGGATCAGGGTACATCAGTGCTTGAGGAAATGCACTCATGGTGCATGGCTGGTCCTTAGCGTGAGGAGACAGCGGGGACAGAGGTGGCCCCAGATGCAGGAAACCCAGGCTGTTTTTCTGGCTGCTTCTGAATTATATTGGGGCAATATTTTTGGACTTTAGCTGTCCGATGTGGCTCAAGAGGCGTTAGGAACAGACCTCTCTCATTCATTTTATTATATTTTTATTATAATTTATTATTTTTTATTATAATTTATTTTTCAGTGAATAGAAAAGGAGCCTGCTTAATAAGGAGCCAAGGGAAAATTGTGAAGTTTGGGAGGCTTTACAAAAGCATTGCCCCGAATGAGGAGCTCACGTCTCATCCCTGTTACGTAACATTTGTGTAGGCCTTCTGAATTTAAAGAACTGCTTGAAAAGTTGATCTCATTATTTTTTGTAGTGAAACTGGGTTATTAAGTCACTGGGATTTTTGTCTTTCTTGTGTGAGTACTGATAGATTTTGCAGGTTACCAGTGGGAAAGTAGTCTGTCACCTTTAAAATTTTAAGAACCTGAAAATAAGTTTCTGTAGCTCTCCAATCCTCTGCTTTTAGGGGGGGAAAAAAAAAAAAGGTCCTGGTTCATATGATTAAAGGACACATTAATTGTGGCATCTGCTCCTTCTCCCTCAGCTCTGAGCGGTGCCACCGTGGCTGCCCTCTAGTCCCCTTGCTTAGGGAGGCACTATGCAGGCAGGTAGATTTGATTCCGTGTGTTTGCTTTAAAATGCATTTTCAAGCGCACAGAACCAGTTCAAGGTAAACCGCATCTGGCCTTGGTCCTCTTTCATAATCTTTGTTTTTAAGGTTTGCTTTTTCCTTCTGTCTTTCTCGTGTTCCTGTCTGCCATCCGAGGATCCCTGCGTCTGGCAACACATCCTCTTCCCGAGCGATGCTCGCTGCCTCCTCTGCCGCAGGCCTGGAGACCTGGGACCATCCTGGCTGCGGCCTGAGCGCTTCCCCTCTGGGCCTTGGCTCCATCCAGTCCCCAGTTGATATTTTCTGTATGTTTTCTAGAGCTTCTTAGTAAAACAAAGTCCTCTGGGAATCCCAAATGGATTTTTCTTTTTGTTCATTTGGTAGTTTCTTTTAAGTTGAAATGGTCTTACCGATAAATAAATAAATAATAATAATAATAAAAAGTTGTTCTGTATGGAAGCGTAGTGATTAAGGGGACGCTTGATCCTACTTGCCCAGCCACAGAGACGAGTTATGACACCCAAAGGTCAGGAGAAACCAATCTTATGTCAGTACAGCTTAACACTGTGCCTATATTTATAGCTACTTGAGGGCAAGCGATAACAGATCCGCGCTTCCCAACACGGCGAGAGCCGGAAGAAATGCGGGAGAGAAGGTAGCGCAGATGGGAGCGCAGAGCCCTGTTGCTCTGCCAGCACTTGTCTCCAAGACCTTTGCTGTCCCACTTTGTGTATGTGGGAAGTGTTGCTCAAAAACCAGGCAGAATCCCGAGGTTTGGCGCGATGGGCCCCACTGGCAGCACAGAAAGCACCCGCTAAGCTGCTTCCCTTGGTTAGAAAAACGGGGAGTCGGAGGGCTAAAGGCAGCTACGCTGGCGCTTTTTCAGGAAAACAAAGGACTGATACCAGGGCTTTGGTAACTGAATGGAAGAAACTAAGAAGCTCTGTTTTAAAAAAGGAATCAGACTGTTTGCTGAGGTTTCCTTTGGTGATTGATCACTGTTTACACTACAAGGTCATCCTGTGTTGTTTCACTGGATAAGCAAGCAAAGTTGTGCAACAGATATAAAATTATTTTATGTTTTCAGATCCCTGCTGGAGAATTTGGATATTCAGGTTTATTTTTTCTTCATGGTGTTTACACAAACCAGCGCTTGCCTGGATGTCCTAGAATAATGCTGAGGGTCAGCATTTCTATTTCTTTTTCTGAATTAAGTACATCTGCTTTCAAAGTTGATCAAGATAAATCACAGTAAGATGCTCTTTCATTGTAATTCAGTCTCTGCTCTATTCTGTGATGACTTTCGTGTGTAGACAAGCCTTTATAAAACTTTGCTTAAAATGAAATTTCCTTGTTTTGTTTTTATTTTAGCCTTTGCATTTTAAGTTTGTACTGAAAAATGAATGATATTCCTTTAACTGATTTCTTCCCCCTGCTCCCCTACAGACTATAAGGTGGCACATTGAACTACAACCATGGGCAAGCCCAACCCCTTCCCTGGACTATGAGGCCGTCAGGTTCCTGAAGTACATAAGCACTTCTCAGGTAGGTTTTCCTTTCTGACTGTTCAGAAAATAATCTGTCTGTTTTCTCTCAGGCAAGGAATTAACCTCGCACCAAGCTGCCATTGCAATTGCTTGGAATATGTTTTATTTCTAAAGTTACTCAATTCAGCAGTGATGGTCAACATGGTTAGGGAGAGGTCGAATCTGGTAGCCCACCCGAGCTGAGGGGCTCTGCAGCTTTCTCCTGCCGTGTCCAGCTAGTAGCAAGCATGTGTTCCCAGGAGACACACACACAAACACACGTACACCCCAAATATATACACAGCTGGCCACATGGATAAACACGGACACAAACACAGCCTCCTCCACTTCCCCTCTCTGGCTGATCACGAGGAAGGTCCATTAATGGGAAATGCTTATGGATCCCTCCGGTAGCTGGTCTGCTCAGCAGCTGCCCCTGGACCCCCCTCTTCCCAGTTGCTGGCACTTGGACATACGAGTCCCACAGCCCCCCTCCACATGCACACAGAGTGGAGAGCCTCCAGGAGCAGAGTTAGAAGCTTAATTCTATCTTTAATTAGAAGTCAGAAATTTAATAAGAAGGTAGGATGGTTCTCCAAAAGGTGCTGTGGAGAGTGTGTCCCGTTGACTCTTGATGGTTTTCACAGCTGGACCAGGACGCTCTTGGCTCTCCTGGAGTGGGGACAGGGGCTCCATTTCTCTGACGGGGCTTTTAGGGTTCCCTGCCTGGTGTTGTGCCTCTGTGCTCCTTAGCATGGTTGTGTGGAGCCTCCAGGGGTTCATGGCCCTCCTTTGAGGAGTCTGGCATTAGCCTGGGCATGGTGCTATTTGAGTTCCCCCACCTACTCCTTGTTCTTCCCTGCTCCTCTCCATGTAGGCAGGCTACCTTTGCGCCACATAACCTAACAAATGTGAATGTAAAGATCAGAATGTCAGTTAGAAAGAATGCATTATTTCCTTGCTTTCTATTTACAGAGGGGTTTGTGCCCTGACAAAAGTGCAGTACAGCTGAAATTCCAGGAATTGTTCCTCTCCCATTTTCTCCCTCTCTCTCTCTCTCTCTCTCTCTCTCTCTCTCTCTCAGATACAGAAAAGTACTGAGCACTGTGTAGTGAAATGACTGTGTATTCTACCACTCAGCCTCTCAGTAATAATGTAATAACTAGGTTCATTCTAACTTAAAAAGGATGTATTTGAAGTTCACAGAAAAATGAGAAAAAGGCATCAGTTCCAAGCCTGGGCAAGTTTTCCCAATGGTACTAAAAGAATTCTGATTTTCTGAGAACGACAAAAAAACTGTTGTGATGATCTGAAAAACTTGTATTTTCAAGTGCTTTTTCAAAGGTATTATCTCCAAATCCACCTTACATTCACAGATGCTTCCATGGCACAAATATATGGAAATCAGGTTATCATGTTGTAGTATATATCTTAATATAGACATTATTTCTCCACAACAGTGCTTATACATACATTTTGTGTAATGAGGAATGAAAAAGGTGCAGTATGCCCTTAGTTCTGACAAGGCAGGTACTTTTAAGTATTCAAGTCTATGAGCAAGCAAACCTTTAATACAGATCTAACTGTACTATATTTTACAGAGAAAAACAACAAGGTTCCTCAGGTGTTTATGTCACTGAAATGTCATTAACATAAATAATAAACAGCAACACTAACATAATGCTTTGCTAATTTTTTTTTTACTTTGAAGGCTGACATGGAAGAATCAGTTGAAATACATCAAAAAATATGCTGCTGTGCCTATGGTATCGTAACTGGGAGAGCAGCAAAGTGTTCACTTATCCCCAGGCTCATGACTACCTCCAGCTGAATGTTCACAAATGTGGAAGTGACGTCTTGGTCTCCACTTTCTCTGGCACAGAGGAAAAGCGGAGGCTCTCTGACTGGAGGAAAGAGGACTTGCAATGAGACAGGGATGTCTGCAGAGCTGCTCGTTTTCTAGCAGAGAAGTTTAGACTGAGGCATAAAGCTGAGAACAGCCTTCATCTCAGAGACTTAATAAACACTGGCAGGTTCTGCTAAACTTCACTAGTTGGGTCAAAACCTACAAGGACATCAATTAACAGAGAATTTATTGCTCCTGACATACTAATCAGGAAGTTTCATTCCCAGAGTAGCTGACCCTGGGGACAGGCATAAGCGAAAACAAAAACAAAAACAAAAAAAAAAAAAAAGAGAAACCCTTGTCCCTGACCTGGCAGATGTTACATGATTAACAGCTGACAGGATCTCGCTATGACTGGTAGGAGTATTAGAGGAAATGGGATCCTGCTCACATAGGTGAGCATGGTATCTTCTTTCCTGTGTGTGCTGAGCAAGTGGCAGCTAATTACTGAGGCTGGTTGGGTTCAGCAATACCCGTCGCATGGGTGGGAGGAGAAGATGCCACCTCATCAGGCTTCCCTGAGGGGTGAACCAAGGCTCTTTCAACACCCCTACCTGGTAATCAGAAGAAGTGTTGAAGTTTACTGTTACCTTCACAAGAGCAATGTGTAGAAGAACAGCCCAAGCCCTTATGCTCTGCATGTCACACGCCAGATTGGTGGTGGTGTCAGTGGTAGAGTTCAGGTCTTATTTATGGTTATAGTTTTAGGTTTTGGTTTTAGTAGCAAGAGCTGGTAACATTGCTAGAAATTCTGAGTGTTGCACTTACTCAAAATACGATGAGTCAAGTAAGCAGTACGATGGCAGAATCTTTTATTTTTCTGCAGAGAGCATGTTTTTCTGTCTTAAAATAAGTGCTTGTCATTGCAAAGCCATTTATTCCTTGATAGTTACAGATAGAAGGGAAATAAGCAGTGGAATGCAGTGCAAGACATTGCTTAAAGCTTAGTGAATTCAGAGAGCAGCATGAAGAGATGCTGTATAAGCTTTTACGAATTTTTCCCTGGGAATTATGAGCTGAGCAGGAGGAGGGAGATTGTACAGCAGGCAGCTCTGTGAATGTAATGCTCCAGATAATGATCTTTCAGAGCTAAGCCTCTTTAAAAATAAATTTTATTTACTTACTACAAGGCACATGAAGAGTGTCTGCCACAGCAGAGGCTGGATTCCAATTTTCACTCTCATCCTCTGTGCTTAATTGTGCAGAAGCAGAAATTACTGGAAAAAAAATGGTCAGAAAGATCAAAAGATCTATGCTTTTTAGTTTGCCTAAAACTGAGACTCAAGTCCGAGTAGGAAGGTGTGAGAATAGTCAGCTGAGGACTGGTATTTAACCTGGTTTTAGCTCTGCTGTTGTTTCTTTCTTCCTGTGTACTGGCTTTCTGGCAGTGCCAGCTCCTATCCCTGGCAGTTTTGGGGATCGCAGCTGGTGCTGGGTTTGGAGAGCAGCTTTTCCTTGCAAAGGCGCCGTTGGGTGCCTATGATTCTCTGCAGTATTTGTTTTCATGTTTGCAGCTTAGCAGCCCATGCCCTGCAACTCTGGAATTTGATGTCCAGGTGTGCTTGGCTGGAAAAGCTGACTTGACCTTTTAGTCAAATGATTTGGACACTCTATTATGTAAAACCCATCCAGGTTCCTGATGAATTCACCACTTTTTACTAGTTGCCTTCTTGTTCTTTGCTATCTGGCTCATGATATCTAAGCCAGCATTGAAACACTTGCAGTGATTCCTCTGCTTAGTTAAGCACTTGCTTAAATCCCTTTGTTATTGGATAGGGGATGTCTTTAGATCATCCTTAAATCTCTTCAGGAACTGAAATCTGAGGCGCTCGAGGTGTAATATACAGTGTTGTGTATCACAGTGGCACTGTCTTTTAAATAAATGGTGAATCCTGAGATTTTATTTTGACATGATTCAGGATGCAGAATCCAGTCCAAGATTTGCAAGAAAAAGAAATACATATTTATACTGAAATAGCTTGTTCTCAGGAAAATTGATTTCAGGGTATAGTACTAATGTTTAATTACTTGCTATTCAAACCGTGTTGCTCTCTAGGGGATTATATAAGCCTTAAATTTCACCAAGCAGAACACACACACACAGAACACACAGAACACACACAGAACACAAACAAGGAGGGAAAAAATCAAATATCCATAGCTGCGGATCTGTCAATCAGATTTTAATTAAACCAGTTAACATTTTTCTTCTTTCCACTCTATTCCCAGAAGACGAATTAAAAACAAATTAAAGTAGTGACATATTAAAATGAAACATCCTCTGATTTCAACAGATTTCGTGTGAACACATGAACCTAAACAGCCTGGCAGGGCGCTCTGAAGCAGCAAAGAAGCCCTGGTCGCTCTGCCTTGATGAGCAGTTCAGCCTCATTCATCGCATCAGGAACAAGCAATGTCGCCTGTATTCACTTGGGTAAGCCCTCTCTTTAACATCAGCAAATCATTTCAGGATACATTTTGGCCTCAAAAAGCCTTATAAATGCAAAACAGACTGCAATAATGTTGTGTTTTAAAAATGTGGACTTTGCTAGGTGTGCTAAATATATATAGATGTGCTGCTGTAGGCTGTGTTTTACGGAAAAATCTTTCTCATAAGGGTCTTCATTTTTCTTCATTTTTGTAGAATTGGCATGAAAGCAAATTGCTTATTAGTGAGTGGTGGTTTTGGTAGAGGAAGGTGGAAATTAATGAGATAAACCGAGGAGCATGCAGCATCTTCCCTGAGCAGCAGTGTATTGCATAATTGCTGGGTACTTCAGCAGCATTATTTATAAAGCTTCATTAGCAAAGTCGTACATCTCCGTATGAGAGTGTATCTGCTAAGCGCTTCGGGGTTGACATGTGCCAAAGTGATAATAATAAAGGCAGCGTGCTTTTATTTTAGGGTGTTTATAGCATGTTTGATGTTTGTAACACTGAGATCTTCACTTTTCACGGAACATAATAGTTAACCTACAAGTGTAGCTTGTTTTCCTGCTTTTTTTTTGCGTCTTGAAAGGACAAGGTTCAATATTCAGAGTTCCCACTGGCCTTTTATGTTTTACAGCAATGCATAGTTTGACTAGGAGAATAATCTCTGAGATCTGGACCTCATTTCACACAGATCACTAAATGACTGCCTCCTAATAAAACTTGAGGCTTGTTTTCCTGGGAGCCAGCTTCAGCTTAGAGATACATTGAGAGACTCCATCACCCTGAACCAGCACAGTTTAATTCTGTGATTTTACTTCTGTGGCTTCTGTGGCAAAGAGCTGTGCCTGGCTGTCATTTCTCAGTGATTCGCACACAGCAATTAACATCAGCAGTTAATATAAGGAGGATTCAGAGCCTACCACAGCAAACAGTATTTTACGTTAACTTGAGCGGGTTTTGATCAAGTGGTATAAGAGACCACTGAGCTGTATAGACCAAGCTCCTGAGAGAGCAAGAGGCCCTCAGATATCACTCAGAAGTGTTGCTCAGTGGCAGAAAAACAACTGCCTTTTAGAGGTGATACTGTATGAACCCACACTTAGATCCAGACTTTTGCTGCTTTGCTGTAGTTCTGCTCCACTGCTTGAGGCCCCTTCCAATAGTCAACGGAGAGAGGAAGGCACATGCAGGTGGAAATTCATCTAAGCTGAATAACCTTCTGGAGGTACCTATGGTTTCCTTTGATTCAAGAGGGAGCACAGGATAATGTGGGTGCTGACTTCAGGTGTCTTGGTGAAGTACACAAATTTAATAGAATAAATCTAGACCTTACTCTGCAAGGTACATAATGATTTAATACTAGACCCGCACTGCAGTGTTAATGTCCCTGTGTCCCTTTGATATGGTTCAGGCATGGGCTGAGAAATGTATTTCTGTTGAAGAAGACACAACACAGAGCTTCTGTGAGCTCTGCTAGAGCAGATCTGGCACGCAGCTGATGAGCACAAAGATAACTTGCTTGTGCTTTTTGAACTGCTCTCAGCTGATGAGTGCATACCACATCAGTACTTTGTGTGTGCCGCTGTTTTTCATATGGTACAAGGAGCCCAAATGCCAGATTTTCTATTCTTAGCAGAGATTGAAATTGATGGGAAAGTCAATCGTCATGCACACATGTGTAATAAATATCCAGGAATGATGTGGCTCATGAAACAGCTAAAAAAATGAAAAGAGATATTTGGGTTTAAGGAAGAGTAGCCTCTAAGCCTTCAGATTCCTTTTGCTGCCTTTGGAGCTCATTACTGCTTAATTCTTCTGTCAGACAGACTTCCTTTAGTTTATAGCGGGCAGAAAAGTAATTTTGTTCCGACTAAGACAAAAATCCCCTTTAAATGTTTCTGTTATCCTGTGCCCTTCATAAAGAGCAAAGGGAGAGCAGCTGCTTTCAGGGAGGAACATTGTCCATGGAGAGGATGGAGGGAGCACAAATGTGAAAGTTCAGCGTGAGTGCTACTGCGAATCCTAAATTAAATCCATGCATCATTAAAAATTGAGCAAGACCTACAGCTTGTACTCTGCCTTTGTGAGGGCTGCAGAAGAGCTTGTAAGAGAATGGGAGTGAGCAGTGTCTGAAACCTCTGGAGGATTTTTAGATTAGTATTAGTTGCTTCCACTGCTGCAAAGCAGCAATGTTTTTGCTTGGGGGACAGGATTTTCGGGTGTGACATGTACTTGCAATATGCAGCAGTGAGCTCTAGTTATTAGTGCTAAATCTGCTCAGATTAAACTAAGCCTGTAACAAACACAACAGGCAGGCACCCAAGCTGGGATAATACAAATGAATAGGATTTCAGGAACTTAGCAGCTGAGGTTTGAAGTGTTCACTGCAAGACTGTATAAAGACCTTCCAGGAGGATCTAGGGTCCAGGCAGGGAAGGGTTCCTTTCTGCCCAGCTGCAGAGCTCGGTTACCTTCCTTCAAGGAGGAAAGCAGGGCCACCCCAGGAGAGAGCAGCTCCTTGGCGCGGGTGGTTGTGCCCCTCCGTTCACCCCCTGTGCGGCGGGCGCACTGATGCGGTGCCCGCTTCGGCGCAGGCTCCAGCCCGGTGTTCATTCCAAGCGGGAGGCTCTGTTTCCTGTGCCCCTCGGTGAACCCTGCGAGCAGAGGAGAGCCAAGGGACACGGCCGCCCCGTCTGCCCCGGCTCTGCTGCCCGGTCTCCCGGCGGCCTTGCCTGCGCGGCCGCCTGGCAGCAGCGCCCGCCGAGCAGGGTCCCTTGGCTGCGGGTTGTCTCTTCTGCCTCTTCTGCCTCCAAAACTCACCTTTGCCCCCACTGCTGGTGACTGCGTGCCGCTCTTGGCTGTGCGACCAAGGTCGGTTGTCTTTACCGTAAAAATAGGTCAGCATCCTACTCATTTTATATTTCACTGTTACGAGGACAGCCGCTGTTTTCCCCACTGGTGGGTAAGGGCCTTTCTAGTCTTTTTTGACCTCATCGTGGTTCTGCTAAGATCATAATCCTTTTAAAGCAGTGCAAAATCTTTCTCAGTAAAGAGATGTGTTCACTTTTTTTAAATTTCATGCTGCATTAGCACTTAGCACGGTCATGTGTGGGCCTGCAGTTCTTTTGAATATTATTTTCTCTCATTAACACTTATTGTTGATTAACTCTCTCTTCCAGCATAAATGTGAGTTGTAGGCTAGGGAGGCAGAAGATACACCAGCAACTTCCTTGCCCTCAATGATCTTTTTCTGTTTTGCACCACCATGAACTTCCCTTTGCAGCCAGATTTGAGTACAAATCCACTTGGCGGCAGCGAGAGTTTTGTTTGTGCCAAAAGCATCTGGCTCTCCGGAACAAATCAGCTGGAGCTGCTAGGAGGGTATCACACGTGCACGTATCTGCCAGTCTCTGATCCGCTCATCACTCTCTAATGCCTTAATTGTCCCAAACAATCCACATTTTGTTCATTTTTAGACAGCTTCTCATTCCAAAGGGATTACATTGCTCTTCATTCATCTATGTCCCATCTATAGAATGTCAAATGCAAGCAAGCGTTTCCATTCACTTCATTCTGAACTTCTTTCCTAATATGCACTGAGTGTATGAAAACTACTCTCTCTTCATCCTGTATATCTTCATAGGCTGAAATCCTGTGAAATAAATTCATTCTCAAAAGCACGTTGTTTTCGCATAGCCTGTGTCCTTTTCCTTTCCAGGATACCTGAAGAGAAAAGCTGTTGAGTGGAAGCTGTTCTCATAGGTGATACAATATAACACTATCCTAACTTCTAAACTGTATGTTTATCCAAACATGTTTATCTACATTTTTTCAGAATGTAGATTTGTTTTAGTTTACCAGTATGTTGTTGAGGCAATCATTTAGTACTGATTTAATGCTGTATCCTTGTGTAGCATGGTTTCAAAAGTAGCCTAGTGTTCCTCCACTTTGCTTCCAAAACAAACATGAAGAATCGCCCCTTCTTACACACCCATGAGTCCTTGGGATACTCTGCTTTTACTAATGCATTTTTTGCAGCTCCACTAGTTATGCCTTTTGTTTGTTTGTTTTATTTTGCAGGCTAGGCAATGAGGACAACCAGTTTGAGGTGAACATGGCTAACAGCGGGTGTGAAGTGCACCGCTTTGATCCCAGCGTCAAGTCCGCGCACGTTCAGGAGGGACGGCGCCTCTGGCATCATCGCCTCTCCATTGACTGGAGGGATCCTAATCCCGCTATTGCTGCTCATAAACTTCACAGCAACACGAAGAAGCTGGGCACGATATTGAATGAATTTGGGCATCAGAAGGTGAGGTTTCAGGTATCACGTTTCTAACTGCAAGATAAAGTGCTGGGAAACTGCAAAACTTTCCTTCTTTCTGTTTTTGGGGCATAAGCACTTTACAAGGTTATATCTCCTGACAGTGGTTCATTCATCAGGTATACCCGTAGTGTATCATCATCTTCTGGGGGTTGTCCTTTCTGTCTTGTATTTGTTTTTCCTGTGTGCTGAAAACAGACATCTTGACTTTAAATCACTAGCCATATGCTAAATACTTTCCTCCTTTGCATTTTCCTTTCAAATAACTGGTGACATTAGCTCAACTAGCTGGTGATATTTTCATTTCTGTGGTTGGTCTGCTCATTGCCTGGTGATGAGTGCTAATCTATTCATACAGCGTCATTTATGAAGAGGGGAAAAATGCAATAATTAGACAAGAAGCGGTAACGGATGGGTTGTTTACATTTGCAAAGTCACTAATCCCCATTACAGTCATCAATAACAAAAACATCCTGTTTTGAAGCTGGCAGCAATCCGTGGGTGTTTTTTTTTGTTTGTTTTTTTTGTTGTTTTTTAAGTTGCCCAATTCTTTTTAGGGAACTGTAAAAACATCAGAAATCTTCATGTCATAATTGTTGCCAAAACACATTTGAGGAAGTTTCTGGCCCAAAGGCTTAAGTAGCTTTCAAGACAGTTTTTTCCCTCAGAGGATCCTAGCATGAATTACAATGCTAATTTGCTTCACTGCCTGAAGCACATTCTGCATGGTGTTGTTTTTTAAGACCTAGGCAGCCTGAGCTAAGGAGAAGTGCTTCTGTAGGAATTACAGAGCAAGCAGTTTGTTATTATAAAAAGCAAGATGTGCTTTTCACTTCATTTCTTGCTGTTCTTTAGTACTTTCTTTTGGCTCAGCACTCCCAATTGAACCATTTTGAAGATAAAAGCAGAAAAAGAAGCTTTTTTCTACCACTTAGTCATCCTATAACTATTTTAGACTGTGCATTAGTGAAACATCTGGGGAGAGAGGGAAATGGCTTTCCTTTGACATTGGCCTTAGGACGTTTGTTTTGATTTTAGAAAAATTAGTCACAGAGCAAATGAACAACAACCTGATCCCGAAAAAGCCCATGGATCCCGTGATGCGGCAGACCTCCCGAGAACAGTCGTTTGGTTATCAGGGTACTGTGGGGTGATTATAAGACCTTCTGTGACCTGGAGGATTGTACCTGTGAATTCTAAGCATGCAACTTTCCGGCTGAGAGTTAGGTTACATGAAAGCATACAGCTGGAGAGCAGCCAAGGAACACAGTGCACGTGTAGCACATGGAATCGGGCTTTTCTGGGGTTGTGTACATGGTGCCTGGGGGTTGTTCGAGTGTGTTCATGCATCGTGAACCCCACGGAGCCTCTTATTCTGCTAGCATTCAGGTAGCTCAATTATGCAGAACTATTGCACGAATTGAGTCAGGAGCTTAATTTCACCCTGTGAGAATAAAGCCATTACACACTTTGCGGTGTTCTGTCACTTCCTATTTGTGAAATATCCAAATGAACCCATTTTCCTTACATGGTTCTATTTAGTTTTTCTTTAATTGGAAGGCAGGCTGAGAATTTGTGTGTTGCACAAAGACACTGATAAACTCCAATTTGTGAAGAGAACATCAAAGTAAATACTGTGACATTCAGGTTTTCGTTTTTTCACTGAATGAGTGGAATGTGCCCCTAACTGCGTAAATAAGTTAATGCAAAACATTTTCACAGACTATTTTCCAAAGCATTTTTTTCAATTAGAAATTTAAAATACTCTCTTCCTGTCATTTTTTAATTTTAAAAATCCGTCCCGCCTGCTCTCAAAGTTGTTCTCTTCCCACTTCAAGGCAGGAATTCCAAGCAACTTCGTTTGAAGCTAATGTCTCATTTTCTCCCTGCTTTTATTCTTTAAGGCTTGGGACTAAATCCAAGGCCCTCCAAGTGAATGGGAATATTTCCACTGGCGTCAGAGACTTGGGATCAGGCTGGTGAAGAGAGGACAGGCGAGGCATCCTGTAGTTCTTGCCACCATAACCTTGAGAAGAAAATATGCAATTTGGGGATTTTGTACACAGTGACAGCTGACCAGACTTCACCTGTTTTTCTGCAGTCAGTACCTCCCTAGAAATGGAGATCTGGCCTGATATTATGACAAGAAACACAAACTCTTTTTTGGGTTTTAGCGTGGATTTGAGGAAACATTAAAAGTACATGATCTGTCCGATTGGCTACATGACATAAATCCTCCATTTCTCTGAGGAGTGTAAATAGGATGGAGACAGAGGGATTAGCTTGCCCTCTATTAGGGTGACACTGAGAAGAGAAGCATGCAGCCCATATTTTGAGAAATTTCTAGAGAGTGAAATTGTATAAACACTGGAACAATCTCCAAAGGGTAGAATCAGAGTCCTGTTTCCTGGTACAAAAATCTAGATCGAAAATTTACTGTTATGTATTGTGAGGAGAATAATATTGTCCACGGGAAAGGATAAAGATGTCAAAATAGATCTTTGTCTTGTTTGTCTTTCTAATTCTGGCATAAGCAGTCACTGAATGTGTGCACTCTGTAATTCACTGCTGATGGATAGTGAGAGGGGAAAAAAAAAAAAAAGAGGAGGAAACCACTTCAATGCCCAAATTTTCTTTCTCATTGCAGTGCAGTTTCATGGTCTCCTTCTGACTCCTGGGGTAAGGGTGCGACAGTAGTGGTATTCCCTGTGGATTAGTGATGGCTGGGAACTTCCTTCATATGGGATCACAGGATAACTCAAGTTGGCGAGAGGCCGCAAGAGGTCTCTTGTCCAGGCTCCAGCTCAAAGCAAGGTCAGCAGTGAGGTCAGATGAAGTTGCTCAGGACTTTATCCAGTTGAGTCTTAGAAACTCCCGAATTTTCTCCAAAATAGAGACTGCACAATCTCTTCAGGCAAATTATTACACTGCTTGACTGTCCTCATTGAGGAAAAAAAAAGATTCCTAATTTTCAGTCTGTACCTCTCAGTGTATGCCCACTCTCTCCTGTCCTGCCATGTGCTGCCAAGGAGCCCGGCCGTGTCTCATTGATAACTTCTTTGTAGGTCCTGGGGGCTGCTGTTAGGTCGCCCCAAAGCCTTCTCTTCTCCAGGCTGGACAAGCTCTCTTCTCCCAGCCTTTTCTGACCATCTCGGTGGCTCTCTGCTGAACACACCTCCATTTAACATTGCTCGTGTTGTATTAGGGATACCAAAGCTGGACAGAGCGTCTAGATGTGCTCACATGAATGTTCAGTGTGGGGAGATAGTCACTTCTTTTGATCTGCAGGCTGTTTTCTACTAATACAAGCTCAAGTCCTGTTGGGACTTTGCAGCATGATCCCAGGGCCTTTTCTGCACAGCTGCTGCTCTCCATCCAGGCAGTCCCTGGCCCACATCATTGCAGGGGGTTCTTCCTCCTCTGGTGCAGCACTTTGCGTTTGTCCTTGCTAAGTTTCTTAGGTTCCTATGGGCGCCTTCCTACAGTCTCACCCCTGTGACACTCCGCCTGTAAGTGGCCTGCAGGTAGAATATGCTCCATGTACCATTGACCAGCTCGGATATGGGAATATTTGTGGGAGACAGTGTCAGATATGTATTCCCATGCTGTTCTAGCCTAGTCACAGGAAGCAGCTGGTTCCATCTCCGTGCAAGTGGACAACAGTCTGAACTACAGTTGTTACAGCAGAACTGATTCAGCTGCCTAAAGACACCCTTTATCTAGTCCCAGTATAGATCTGCTTTGTGTGCAGTACTGATGTCCTCTTCGGAAGGTTACTGTCTTCCATGCAACCCAGATTTTAGCATGCAATAAAATACAAGGGAAAATCTGTATTGAAACATAAGCTCCCTCCCCAGGCTCCAGCATAACTCCTCTCTCCAAAAAGCTGCAGCACTTAACCTGAAGTTCAAACTTGACTCCTACATGTATTCCAAAGCTTGTGCTACAAAGCAAAATTAAAAGCTTTTGACAGAGAGGCCCTGGGTGGCAGAGGCAAGAGAGAGTTCATTCTGTCTTGAGTGTGTATTCACAAATAAATTTTGCATGTTACACATGCAAACTCTTGATTCAGTAGTAGTTTTCCTCCTCAGGAGCTCTGTAGGTCAAACCCCTTGTGGTGCCATCAGTAAGTGCTATGAGTCTGGCATTTGCATGCCTTGGTGATAAAGGACTGCCGTGTGGAACTGTGTAAGTGCTGAGTTGCTTTCTTGGAAAACTAATTAAACTAAAAAGGCGAATCTAAGAATGTAAAGTAAAATGAGCAGTTAACCAGCAAGTGCCAGTGGGCGTGAGTTTCAGAGAATGGCAGAGTCACATTCAGCTCTTCCCCCTCAAATGATCTTTCACAAATTGTATGAAAAGACAATTTTATTTTTTATTATTAAAAGACTTTTTATAATTAAAAAAGCAAAGCAGTCTTTATATCCTGATTTTAATTTGAAGGCTACAATTTACACCAGTCAGCTTGTGCTAGTCAGCTTCATTTTACAGAACAAGCTTAGATTTAAGTTTTAAAAAAGCAAAAGTCACCTGTACCCTTTCACCTGTTATTTAATACTCATTGCACCTTCAAAACACTGCACCCTGCAGCCACATTGATTAATAACCTTATCTCTTCCTGAGCAAGTAATTTATCACTTGCCTTCATCTCCTAAAGCAGATGCTATAAAGTCTATTTCATGCTGTACTTTAGTCTTTTGAAGATCAGCGTGAAAGAGCAAAGATTAAAGAAAATTGACTTAACATTCTGCTGTAAAACAGCTCTGTTGACAATAAATAATTACGAAATAAAATTCTGATATAAAATGTATAAAACATAAGTTGTATATGAAGATTTGATTAGCAAAACTAAAAAATTGGATCAGTCGCCCATTGGTCTCCATCGTGATGTTGGAGCCCAGGCTCAGGAGCCGGAATCCCGGGTGTCTTTGGCCTTTGCTGCTGCAGCCCAAGAACAGCCCAGTTCGTCTAGCGGCTGGAAGGCACAA